ACCGTTTAAAGCCCAGTACAGTTGTTTCTGAGTAATCTTTTCCCCCGTGTGATACATTTTAGTACCGACACACCTTTTACATGGCTTGACACGTTCGACGGGATTATTGTGTCCTGCGCCTTTAAGTTTCTCATGAAACGATGCAGTACTCGAGTCACAATGAACAACGATGTTAAAGAATCAAAGTAAAAATCCCTTCTATTTTTCTGAAAACTTACGATCAATAGAATCCCGAGCAGAGTGGCTGTATCCAAAGTTTTTCCTACAGCTATTGATGGAACAACATTCACAATAGTACGTGGTTGGCTACGATTTTTCCCTAGAGTGGTATTCGAGCGAGTATCACACGCCAATCCTGTCCAACCAGCGAAACAGACACAAATCTGAAACTCATTTTTTCGAACCCATAAAAAATGTTCGCACATTTATAAACCAATTCCACTTACCATTAGCACGCTGTCTACGGGTGCGAACACAACATTACCATTGCAAATTTTAGCCACACCTCCCAAATTTGGTCATCCGTGTATTTTGACAAGAAAATGACTTTTCAGGGGAGTTTTTTGTGAGCTAGTTGAATTAAACCAGAGTTTCCCTTTTGTTTGCCTTCTTCAAAAACAACTTGACTGCTGATGAAAAAAGATGTCTACTCGAATAAGGGGGATGGGGAGCGGGCATGGAGAGGAACACCTCGAACTCTCACCTACAGTAATCCTAATTCTCACAGGGGAAAGAAGTTTCGGTGTGGGTAGAAAAGCGGAGATGTCATGATGAAATACACTGGATAACCCCAGAGAGTGTCATATCCCTTGGGCAAAGCTATAGGTCAGGATGAGCAGTGCAGTGGCCCAAATTTGCCGTACCGAAAGAGCCGCTGTTAGTACTTTTACAGAAAATAAAAGCATTTTCAGAATTAGCATCATTTGGCAAGCAACTTACAGCTGTGGTGGTACAATCGCCATGACCCGAACACTGTAGGGCATGATTGTTGGAGGGGCAAGTTACTGCTGTGGAAACCTGCAATGAAAATGAATTGAACTAAATTTGCTAGAAAATTAAGCATAAAAACCCCGACGTAAAAATTAACAAAAAATTCAATAATCTCTGGAACTGCCATGAGAGAATTGCGACTAATTTGCTCAGAAAATCCAGCTAAATACCCGGCCGTACAAAATAAATAAAAAATCCGATAATTCTCACAGAGGACATTTCCACGCAGGAACCGGCAACACACAGTCGACCAGGACCACAGCTGGAGCCATCCTTGACAAGTCCCACGTTCTCGTCAGCGATGGACTTGCTTGCATTGTACCTGAAATTGAACGGGATAAATGCCAAACAAAAGGCAATACTGTTCTATGAAATAAAATGGGCTAATGGTATGTGACCCTCCATAGAAAAAGAAGCAAAAGAAACTGCCGCAACTCCCTTTAGACCCTTCCTTTTGCCGTTGCAAACTGTACGAGCTTACTGCGAAGGAACACTTGGCGCCGCGCGAGGAATCAGACGAATAAGTAACTAGAGAGCATAGGGACTAGCAGAACGCAGACACGTCTCAATTTTTACAACGCACACTCACGGGTGAGTGCACGCAGTCCTGAGCCGCGTATATCCTCAGTGTACCCTGCCGCGACGTGAGCTCATGAAGTGCGCGGCCACAGTGCTTTCTTCGCTAGCAGCACTAGTTCACCATACTTTTAGTGGGAATTATTCCAGAATTAGCTAATTTTGGAATACCCTATACGGTCAAATCGAAATGCACAATGGAATAATTAAACTATTATTTAGAACCAGTTTCAACAACATAATTGCTTTGTTCCGCACCGGATATGCTCCGGTTGACACGACCGGTAGGTACCTGTGCCATCAATGGAGCCACAATTGGCGTATTCGTGCCCACGAGTGTTTTGTTTGAAACATTCCTGTTCAGCAACTCGAGCACCTTAACAGAATCGTAATTAGTTACGGGAACTTCTCTCTTTTGTTATTAAAGCTCCCTTAAAAAGACCTTAAAGACGACCGCTACTTGAAAAGAAATTGGATTATTAAAAAAATAATTCGTACGTACGCCAAGATGGGAAGCATTACGACATATTCTCTGGGAGAAAGTAGTAGAAAGGAAAAAAATGAAATAATAAAGAAATAAATCTCACCTTCGCCCCAGATCTCCTGACATTGTTGATGAGGGTCGCTGCAGTTGCCACGCCAGCACTGACCAGCTCGCCCACATGCGGTCCCATCCATAAGATGTCCGTCTGGAGGACAATCGCCGGACTTCCCATCACAAGTCTCCGGGACGTCACACGCCGAACGAGCACTTCTACACACCTCGCCCGACTTTCGTAACTGAAATGGGCATAGGTTGAACCATAGAATAATTGAATGGCTAAGCAGAACTTTCCACAGCACAATATTAACCCTAGAAAGAAGAAAAAGCAGAAACAAATGACGTTTCATGCAACTCACCTGCTTCAGCTTTTTCGAAAATTCAAGAGTTTAAACATCAAAAAGTACTTGGGTTGAAGAGCTCCTAGAAGGTCTTACCTCACACCGATGACAACACTGATGATGAGCTGCACATTGAGCATGAGCTCGGAGAGTACAGGTCAACGGATCACAGCATGGGTCAGTGCACGTCTCACGAGTTCCACAGTCGCACTCCTCAGAGCCATCAACGATTCCATTACCACATTCTCGCAGTTGTGACGGCTTAACGATATAACTCAATATATGTACAAGTTTATCATCCCAGCTATAGGCGGATTTTACGATTTAAATGCAGCTCATTGGAAATTAAGTTAGAGATGGTCAGTGATGCACGAAAGAAGAAAAAACCGAGAAAATGGCCTAGAACCCGAGAAATGGGACCCCTCGTTGATTTGCGCATTGATGCGACTCTCATCGGTGCTGCCCTCTTCAACGCTAACGCTCTCTCTGCTTAACATT